ACCGTTATACATACATATATCACAGAGAGAGAGAGAGAGAGAGAGAGAGAGAGAGAGAGAGAGAGAGAGAGATGCTCGACGAAAGTCAAGAAGACACGCAACTTTGCCCGTCGTCGGTTGTCTCAGCACGCTGAGAAATTTCCCTTCGGCTGGCCACCGTCAAAGCGTTTAACTTCCGTGGAAAATTTCCGCCACCGCGTCGCGAATTCGCATAGTTGGTCTGGCTAGGCGGAAGTTTACCGAGAACCGCGTTGTCTCGAAGTCTGGAATGAACGCGACGTCATCAAGTTCGCCGCGACGCGACCGGGGAATCCGATTATGCGCGCTGACGGCGAGCGTGTCGCCGAAATTCCCTAGCGAAAAGAGCGTTTCGCATAGGTGAGCACGACGAGCGCGAAGCTGTCGACGAAACAAGAGAAATTCCGAATAAAAATCATCGAAGACCAAACATGTCTCTTCGAACCGTTTCAAACGCTTCGACCAGAAGCAACTGTTACTAAAAAGAGAAACTAGGCAACTATTGTACGTATTTTTGAACAAATTCATTTGATCAAAGTACAACTTCTTCTTGCGGGTTTTATTATTTGTGTTGACGATAGGATTTTTCGAAATTTAATGTGGAACTTTTTCTCAATTTTCCTCGATGGATCTACGTGACCATTCATCCGTTCAAACTTCAAAGTTTCGCACAATTGTACCACATGAAATTATCTACAAAATTTTGTGAAATATTGTTCAATCTATTGAATTTTCATAAATTAATTATTCTCAGCGGGGAAAGAAACTTTTTCTCCAAACAATCGCCACCAGTTGTTTCTTGTTTTCAAGATTACGATACTCATCGTTTACGATAATTCAAAAGTAAGACAACGGAGGAATATTAATTCAATATTATAATTATATCACGCCAAAGGCTGAATCATCTTTCAGCGGTGACAGGCATCTCTTTATTATACCTCGCCATGAAAGAACCGCGAAACTATTCGTACGAGGCGTAGCTGATGCGCGCGACAGAAACAAGGATTTGCAATTTCCACGAGCAAAGATTTCAATATGGCCGCGGAGGTAATTCACGATCCATTGAATGACGATCGACTTCAAGAAAAGTTGAAAATTCCTCGACGAAAACTCCTACGCGAGCAAGAGATTTGCAAGCCTTCTGTACTTCCCGAGGAAAATCCGAGAAAGATTTTTAATAAACTGGCGCTGATGCAAATTGAGCGCCGGACGGTTTGCGGATTCAGGTCGAGATTCACGTTCTTCTTCTTCTTCTTCTTTTTTTTTTTTTTTTTTGTTGGCAAAAGCGTAAGCACGTACAGCAGGTTTCTCAGGTAGAAACCAGTCCCGTAGTTTTTTTTCTTTTTCTTTTTTTTTTTTTTTTTTTTGGCCCCTTCTTTTTCTTCTTCTTCTTCTTTAACGTTACTCAGACGATAAAAATGAGAAATTGATTGAGCGAAACAGGAATAATAAATGGACATTGACTTTAGAATTTTCTTGCGTGTATTTTCTCTCTCTCTCTCTCTCTGTTTCCGTTCTCTCTTTTCCTAGTTACGCGTTTCAGGTCACCGTGGTAATTTTTCATCGACGAATTTCAAAAGAACTAGCAACCGGTCTCTTTTCATCTTTTCCTCGAGAATTGAAAGATGAATGGAGTTTTTCACCGGCGAACGCTGAAAAAACACCGGCCCCCGGTAATTTTTCACCTACGAATTTCACAAACTAGCGGACGCTTCACTGTGCTTTTCTTTTTATCTTCGGGGGAAATGGGCGCAGAGCGCAGCGGATGGTAAACACAGAAACAGGGAGTATTTAACTTCACGATGAAACTTTCAGATCCAAACATTTTCTACCTTTATTTTCTCGCAATAAAGAAGGAAAAAAAAGGTACCTGTATCAATATTGAAACGACAAACAATTATCGATTAACAAGATTGGTAATAAAATTCCATCAACGTTACAGCGTAATTCCCAATTATTCAAGCCGAGCCGGAAAAATTATTAGTTTCCTGAGAGAAGTTCTTCTTTGAATATTAATTCACGGATAGATTAATCAAATTATAATAATAATGTCCATAAATATATTGTCCTTTTTAGTTACTGCATATTAGAATAATTTAAATTCAATTCGGCTGTAAAAGGAAAATTTTCTCTCACGTAGTTAAACGATGTATACTAAACTCAGTTGTCACTCTGCGTGCTGCAATAAAACTATCCCTTGTCCAAGGCTATTAGTATCAACGACTAACCGACGAAAGTTAAAATAATTGAAATTAACAAAATTCATTACAAAAACTTACTCACGTAGGAAAAGAAACATGATACTATTAAGAGCAGGTGATCGTCTCGCGTGCCAAGGATTAATATCAATATCAATTCAATAGAACTATTAATAACTTAATTCCAAGTCCCAGAACCGAGAATACCACGTGACAAGCACAAACCTTGATTGTAATTCGAGCACGCATCGTGCATTGACCGGCTAAAATCAATATTCTCCTTAATAATCCAACGCCGAGTTCGAAGCTAGCGTTCTCACGACGCGAGAGAGAGAGAGAGAACAGAGGTTTCGCGACGCGGCGATGTCAAAGCAGCAAGCAGCCCGGTGGTTTCAAAGTTTCACGCAGAGTCTCTCGCGAGGGCTTCTCATAACGACGACGACGACGATGGCGACGCGTCGATAGGGTTGGGATCGAGGCGCGGAGGCCAGGTCGAACGTCAAAGATCCTCGGGGCAGGGGCGAAACCGGTAGCAAACCTTTCGCCGCCACAATTTCTGCTTACGTATTACCGCGACGCATAACTGCAACGTTATCAAAGGAGAATGGCGCTCGGAGAATTTCCGGCTTCATAGTTAACCTACTGCGTGCGCACGGCCGCTGACCCGGGCGCGCCCCGGCTTTGGAAATCTTTGGAATTGTTCGCGCGTCAAAAGCCATTGTTCCGGCGATGTTGCCACGAGAATAATTCTCGGTTCGTTGTCCCGCGAATTTACGGATTCTTTTTAAGATTTTTCCTCTTCTTGCTCTTTTTTTTACCTTTTTTTTCTTTTCTGTTCGCCCGTCCCTCATTGCTCGTGGTTTCACCGCGCTAATCGCGTTAATCGTCGTTTTCAAAACACCTGTATACAACGTGCGTTATCTTTTCTCCTCGTATTTCTCTTACATTCTTTATTCTCTTTCTCTCTCTTCAAAGTAGCGAGGTATATTATTTTTTTTTTCTTTCTTGCTTCTTTTAGCTTACAGTAAAAATATGCTGCCTTCAGAATAAATTTGAGATATTTTTCAACCCACCCCGGCAAGCCCAAGTAAATAAAAATAGAGATACTCTGTTTGTTCAAGTCAGAGATTTGAACGATAAATTTTGTTAATCCCCTCTTGCCGTTTCATTCATTTATTATCCTACTTCTGTGTATAGAAATAAAATTTCCGTGCGACTTGGGACTGTTTTCGCTGTGCGAAATGGATAGTTCAACGGTCCGTGCTAAAACGGTTGTTTTAAATCTGGAAAGTTGAAGGGCATTAAGTCACGCGTGGATCTCGTTGACGCTGATGGTAATTTTCAACGTTACATTTTTGCCGCGTGTATCGTTGTCGAGGGACGAAACTAGAAATGCCCGTGTACACAACTGGAAATTCCTTTCGAGTTTCAAAGTCACTCGGCGATTTTTGGAAATCGATCGTTTCCAACGCCGCGATTGTCGCTGCAATTGGTTTAATACGTTATCCCGAATATTCCACGGATTAATAAATGGATCAGCACGCGAAATGGATTCTGAAATCAAGTTTTCGCGAGTGGGGGATGAAAAACGGAAGAAAACAAAAAAAAAAGAGAGAAAGAGAATGACAATGTAAGATAAAAATGACGAAAATCGCCAAGCAAACGTTTCCACCATAGAAAAGTACGTCGATTCGCAAATTTCTTTCGGTCGTTCCTTCGCGAAACAAATTTTGAAAACGAGCTACTTTAATTATAATTATAATTAATTATAATTTTTACCTGCATTTCAATCCTGCTCTTATTAGGGAAACTTAACGTAATCGAGTATTACTGAACCAAAAATGAATTTATATATTTATCGCATCATTGTTGTATGCCGTTGATACATCATCACGAAAATGCCAAGTTAATTATTTATAAGAATTATCAGTTACCAAACGTTACCAGACTGAATTTCTTTCTCTTTTAAGCACAGAGAGGATTAATGTATCTCATAAGAGAAGAAAAAGCACATTAATCCCGAGAGATCGGACAATTCGATCTCTCGATACAATTCGCGAATCTAATAGCCGGCAGGCGAACACTAAAGCCCGGTAATGTTATAAAATCAAAGCAATTCCCGTACTTTTTCTTCACACTTCATCTCGCGATTCACCAATTACTTTTTCTCCTTTTCCCTATCTTTCTTCTCTGCACGCTCGTCATTCATTTCATATATTTCCCCGCGTATATTCTCCGCTCGTTATGCACCCTTCAACCCTCAGCTGCCCATACATCGCGTCATTCACTTCCCTCTTCACTTCACTCGGTATATATTTCTTCGAGCTTCTATTTTTCCGAAATCTCGGTACGCCGCGAAACCACCGGCTCTATCCTTCGTTCTCTTTTCTTCCCGCCAAGGCCGATAACCCAACTCTTGGCGGTCGCGTTTCAACTTACTCCCAACCCTCTCGTATAATTCATTCTTCCGGTGGCGCGATCTCGCGCTGAATTCTCCTCCACTTCTCCGCTGGCTGGGTACTCGCGCGCGCGTAACCAAAATGGAACGTGTCTGTCTCGAAACGTGGTGCACCTGTTACCACTCACGAGAGCTGAAAACTTCGCCGTTCCACCTGTCATCGTTCTCACCGCGAACGTTAATTGGATTGGAGGCAGGGGAAAAAAGAAGAAGAAGAAGAAAAAAAAAGAGAAATAATATTGGAAGATGGAGGAAGCGAGGAACCACAAATCTCGAAGAGAATAAAAGAGAGAGAGAGAGAGAAAAAAAGGGATACAGTTAGTTACCTTATCGCCATGCTTTTCGCTTTCAAGTGATGCCATCGCTGGTTCATCTCGTCCAAGCGTCGTTGTAGCATAACAGCGTCATCCTGACTAGCCAGAGAACTCAACAGCTTCCGGCCAGTGCCATTCAGGGATGCGTACACGTCTCGATGTGTTTCGATTTCCGATTGCAGGTCCTGCAACATGAGAGAGAAGCTTACGTAAATTTTTCTGTCGCTAGTGTTACAACATTGTTACGTCATGGGGAGATATCTCAATTTCTTTCAATTTCATGTAATTACACAACTTTAATTAAAAGTAACTTCCATTTTGTGACTAGATTGTTAGAAGATTCGACAGTATAAAATAATCAAAGAAAAATTGTAACTGAAACAAGTGAAATGCTTGAAAAACACGTGTATCGAATCCCATTATTTCGCGAGTGCTAAATTCTATAGTAAATAACGAATTTCATTAATAACTCTCAATTACTATCAATAGATTTGTGACTTTAGCTAAAAGAATGAAATATTATCACAGTTTATAGAGGTGTGCGAGATCCCGAAATGTCGGGTCGGATCGAGATTCTCGAATTGATCGGGATTCTCGAAAGAGTTGGGATTCGGAAAAGGACTGGTAACAAGAATAAATAATTCGTTAAAGCCCCCGCCTTCAACTATATCGAAAGGTCGCAGATCTAGAACCATCATTCGAGCAATTCCTTCTGTTATATCTTTTGGTTTAACAATCTTTCGCGTATCATTTTGTCCATGCGACAAATTTTATATCGATTCAGTTTCTTTTCTAGTACATGTACTTATGTTTGGATGTATATGCTTCAACTGGCGTAATGAACCAGTATTACTTGCATACTTAGTTTTAAATTCATGGTGACAATGTATGCATTCCGCCTTTGTATCATCTTTTTCCTGAAAATGTTCCCAAACAGAGCTTCTCCTTACCTTCTTCCTTTGCACGACATCTTTTGCACTACTTCCTGCTACCACAACTTTACTCTCACTATCACTCGATATTTTTTTTTAAAGATTTTTAATCAATATTAAATTTACACAGATTTTGAAACGTACGTCTGAACTGCCCGAATTTCTCAGCGATACTGCTCAACAGCGTACATAATGTCCAAATACTAAGCACGCAGTCACACGTTCGTTTACATCAGGTCACACGCTTCTTAGAATCCGTGTTTCCAAGAACTTCACTGGCAGAAGAAATTGAAACTGTGTATTTACATATTTTATAGGCTGCCATACAGCATTGTAGAGTAGTTCGAGAAACCATTGTAGAGTAGTTCGGGTAACCGGATTGTTGAAATTTTCGGGAATCTCAACTTTTTCAGGAAACCCGATTCCTTCGGGAATCTCGAAATTTTCGGCAATCCGACTCGATCTTTTCCCGATCTCGTCCCGACCATCGAGTTCCCGATATTTTCGGCTTCTCGCACACTCCTAACAGTTTATATCCTGTGTTTTATGTAATAGGAAACTTTTATCATCATTAAAATTAACTCAAATCAACGATATATTGAGGATTAAAATAGAAATTTGTCCTTTAATCCTTTCACAGACGACAGGGATTGTTTTCGCTCGTGTCAGTTGTTACACGTTAATAAATGTTTGCTTTTTATAAAAATTAAGTTACGTCTATCAAAAGGTTAACACCTTTGGAACTCAAATATTTTTTTTTCCATTCCCTGGAATTCGATGGAAAACAAGAGCAACAAAAATACCGATCGACGCGTTACCCGTGCAAACTAATCAAAACTGGTGCAGGGTTTGCGCAGGAATACTGAACTTCAAATAGAGACACCGCGACCAACTGTCACACGATGAAAAAATACAACTTTGCGCCAGTGTCTAGAGAAGCGTCAAAAACGAACAACATACGCATATAATAAAATACTGTCGCAGATGAAATGGCCAAATTCTTAATAAAAGCAATATAAAAACAATATCGATCGTGCTCGGCAAGCTTCGTTAAATTTCAAAAATAGTTCAATTTTAAATTGACTTTCTTTTTGGGATTTTTTTTACATCAGAGTAATGTTTCATTATTTTTTCAAATTAAATCTATCTTCGTGATCTCGCGAAATTATGCGTTTAAACAAGTAGTGGATGCCAATTTAGGCATAATATAATTGAAATACTTTACGATCAAGGATCGCTGTTGCTATCGAAGACGTGAAATATTCGACATCGGAAAATTTCAAGAATTCACACGATACTCCCTTAGATTTTCTCCGTGCGAGGTGTACACCGAGAGGAAGAAGAAAGAGGGTAAAGAGAACGCTCGCACGGTGTTCCGTCATCGTGATGACGTGAATTGCGGCGAACGCTTGGCCAGTAATGATTTATGCCGGCTTACCACGTACGCCGAGGCCTAGCGTTGACATGCGCCGATGAAAATAAATCGAGGCCGATGCAACTGAATTGAGAAATATTCATCGTCGTAGTGTTGCCACGCTGGCAACACCTTCCAACCAATTTTCAGCCGGTGGTGTTCGAACGGAGATAAATTCAAAATCAAACGTAAAAACATGGCCTCGTTCCTTCGCTGTTGCTCTGTCGTCTCAAATGTGTTTCACATTTTTCCATTTCTTTTCGGTGGATTGAAAATTCCATACAGACGCGATCACAATTTACCGAGAAACACCGTTTCATGGAAATTTATTTATGGATACTGTGCATATTGGTATTTACAGCAGGGACGGAACAGCGTATACTCCCGTTTCGGAATTTAAATTCATACTGTTCGTACGGACTTGGTTATATCCTAGGAAAATGCTGCGTTATTTCTTCTTATCTAATCTTTTGTTCCGTTAAATTGTGATTGTGCACATTGTGCTTGAGCTTTGAGAAATTGCACAAATTGAAAAATGATGAGAACGGTTCCTAAATTGCAACTAAACAAGTTCTTCGAAGAGTACGTCCAACGTTTTCTTATTTTATTAGAATTTGAAATTTAGAACAATACCAACGGATTTATTGTAACTAATGTGAAAAAGTATTATTTGAGCACGAGTCAAACAAGTCTTCGAGCTATAAAATTCCAGTAGAGTCAGCCATATGAATGATCCAAATCGTCCTGACTGTACAATTTTAAACCACCTATGTATGTACGTCTCTCAAAATCCTACGAAAACCTCCCTGTACATACAGAACCATCCCAGTGCAATGAATTCTCCATTCGAAGATACACAATTCGCGGAAAACCACCCTCAAACACACGACGAGATCTGTCTTTCGCAAGAAATGATCAAACAGACCGAATGTCGTTCATCGGCGATCAGACATTCAAGTCGTGGCCGAGTTAAGAAGAATCGGTGAACATCGTAGGAGTGGGAAGCCTTTTGGATATTTTCTTTTGAGAGAAGAGGGCCACCCCGTACATTTCTATTACGGGTAACAAAGTTTTTCCACTACGGCGGATGCGGATAATAATTCAGCAGGCTTTCTTCTCTGAGCGCGGATGTTAAGTTTCATAATTCAGGGAGGCACGGATTGAAAGTTGTTCCAGGATTGAATGCACGCTGCTTCTAGTTTTATTCGCCTCGCTACGTGTATTACGCTCGAACAGTGTAACGTAGATCGATGATACATGGACGAAAAATAATCAAACAAAGTTTGGAAAGTTTCGTTGAAAGCTGGTTAAAATCGCCTGCGGATTTTCGTACTGAAGTTTTTAGTTTATAATTTATTGAATGATGATGTAAATTATACAAAGTTTTATACCAAAGTAGTATTTTCTATGATATCTATGAATATCTATTAGTTTTTATATCTATGAATATCTATTAATTTTTTCCCTAAAAAATTCAATGAATATTCGTGTCAAAGATAGCTGATTGAGTTTTTATTTTGTAATTTAATGAATGATGACGTAAATTATACAGTTTTATACTAAAATAGTATTTTCTATGATATCTATGAATATCTATTAATTTTTTTCCTAAAAAATTCAATAAATATTCGTGTCAAAGATAACTGATTGATGAAAAATATTTTGATAAAGAAAATTTTGTTAAATAATGTTACTACTTGTTTGTTAGCTTCACTTTTGGTTAAGTCCGATAGAATAAGTCGAATTGTTCTACTTCTCTTTGTCCTGTCTTTCTCTCTCTCTCTCTCTCTCTCTCTCTCTCTCTCTCTCTCTCTCTTTCGCTTTCGTTTTGTCGTTTTCAACAAGCTGCTCAAATTCCACTTCAAATTTTCATAGTTGCCTCAGTTTAAAAAAAAAACCAACGCCACTGCAACTACTCATTCGATCTTTTTCGAAACAGGATCCTCTCTCTCGAATCAATACAATTGATGTATGTAAAAGCTGCATCATAGAACGCAATTGATTCGATGGTAGAAAATACTACCGACAGTGATGTACAGCTCCGGTGAAATTTATACGGGTGATAACACTTTTGGAGAATCGATTGTGCCATTTCAGTTAGCAAGAGTTGGTTCACATGCTGTTCGTTCGTCAAGAGCTGAACTTGAAGTCTTTGAAGTTTGCCACACATGCAAATATGAAAAATTACATTATTTCAACATTCTTCAGATATACATACATATCGCGCGACAAGATGATAAAAAAAAAATTCGACTTGAACGAATTACAGAATAAAGAGTATCGACAGCGGGAAAGATTATGGCTGTAAAAATAATAGGATATCTGGAATTGATTGGTACGATTGCACAGCTGGTGCAAGGCTTTTTTATCGTTTCTACGTGTCTGGCTCGGTTAAAGTTGCGTCCACAATTTACGGTACAACTTGTACACGGGCGGGCGGAAGTATGGCAAATATTGTGGTACACGATGTGCAACGATGCAAGGAACCTGTTCGAAAAGCGTCGGGGTACATCCATCAAAATGCCTTTCGCCGGGGGTGCTCGTCGAAAGTGCGAATCGGTGACGTTTAATTGGAACACCAGATATCTGACCGATGAAGTTTGATAGCTGTCGTTGGATTAATCGTTGGACGAGTGCGCGCCGATATCCGCAGCTTGAAAATCCTCCACTTTATTTTATTATATTGCGCCGCTTGTTGCATTACTATATTACTACGTGTAATTCTATTCGAGCATTCGGAGATTTGCTACGCGTGACACGAAAGAGAAATTGCTACACCTTTTCTTCTTCTCAATCCAGAGAGTAATCATTGAATTCTAGATTTATTCTTTAGACTTTA